AGGGTAGGGAAGGGGGAGGGTAGGGAAGCTGGAGGGTAGGGAAGGTGGAGGGTAGGGAAGCTGGGGGGGAGGGGAGGGGGAGGGGAGGGGAGGGGGAGAACTGGCTCTGAGGTTTAATCAGTAGCATCCAGCTTAAATTCCCCCAAACGGCGGTTCCATAAATCAAACGTCTTTTTAAATCGGAGGCCAGAGCATATGCGTCCCATTAGGAATCCGGCGAAGCCACCGCTGCGCCGACGCGCCCCTCGGCTCCCTGGGCCCGGACGGGCCCTGCCGGGAGCTTCCCGGAGCCCGGCGGGCGCTGCCCGGCCCGACGCACCAGCGCCCCACGCTCCTCGCACTGCCTTGGCCGGCCGCACGCGCTCACTGCGCGCCCCCCTCGTCCCGGACGAGGAGTCGGCCGCGGCGAGGGTCGGGCCGCTCGGCGCGGCGGGAAGCCGCGCGAAACCACGGCAACCTCGGAGGACAGCTTGGGTGCTGTCTGGTGGGACGCGGCGTGCACGTGTGTGCCAGTGTGTACGCGGGGGAGCGGATGTGTGCGTTCCGCTCTCTCGAGTGTGGCACGGCCGTGCGGGCAGCGTGTATTTATATAGGGAGGGGGATCCCGTTGGTCCAGGATTCGGCTGGGAGGCGCAGGGTATCTCCGCGCTACTCGCGCGCCCTCCGGCCCTCGCGCTCCGTGCGCGCAGCCAGGTCTACAGGGGCCGTCAGGCCTCTAGCGGGCCACCCTTTCCCTGACCTCAAAGCCAGAACTTCTCACTGCCTCAGCCGCCCCCCAACTGCTCAACTCTGGCGGCTTGGGCCGCGGCTAGAAGACCCATAGTACCCCCGCCCCCGCGCGCGCCGGGCACCCGGCGCCCCGCCCAGGGACCTCACTGCCGCGTTCCCTGCTCACCCAGTTCCAGTGCTGGAGCCCAGGGAGGGGGGCCCTCACCCGCCCACCCGGCGTGTGACCCGCGGCACTCACAGGTAGCTGCCGCTGGACAGGATGAGAAAGATCTGCGGGCAATAGACGGAGAGGAGCGCGCTGCGCGGCGACAGCAGGAGCATGATGGGCCGGCGCTCCTGGCGGGGCTGCGCAGGCCCCGCGGGCAGAGCGCGTGGGCCAGCTGAGGCCGGGGTCTCCGCGGCCCTCCCCAGGTAGGGCGGCGGAACGCGGCGCTAGGGACCCGAGCGCGCGGGCCCCGGCGCAGCGGTCGCCTGTGCCCCGCCTCCAGGGCCGCGCATCTCGCTGGGGCTGGGGCTGCGGCGGGCGCTGGGGCTGGAGTGCCGGGAGGCGAGCGGGCAGTGGGCAGCGAGTGCGCCTCGGCCGCCGTCTGGCCCTCCGTCCGTCGATCGGTCGGAACCAGCTCTGTCGCTCGCTCTGGCTCACGTCTTCAAGTCTCCTGAGGCGCGCGGCTGCCATTGGACGGGCCACCCCTACATCCGCCTCCTCCGCGGGCGGGTTTTTTAAAGGGGAGGCTGACCGAAGCGTGCGGCGGGAGCCGCCTCCAGGGCTTGCCCAAACCGCCTTGGCTCGGACAATCCCCCCAACCACCAACTTCAGCCAGCCACACGGCTCTGGCCCGCTCTGGAGGGTGCACCTGGGGGAGGCACCGCGGGAGAACCGCGCGGGGGCGTGCGCTTCTCCTGGGTGTTGTGCTCGGCAATGTGTGCTCCTGTGTGCGTGCACGTGCCTGCATGTGCCTGCGCGTGACTGCGGGAGCGTGGGCGCGTCTGTGAGCCCGCAGGTGTGTGCGCCCAAATGCACTGTGTTCGCTGCGCCTCTGCCTGCGTGCGCCCCTGGGTTTGGTGAGACTGGCTGTGGGTCGCATGCACTCACTGCCATGGCCAACCAGGCCCAGCGTGGTAGGTCTCAGCAGTGCCCCAGCGCGCCGGCGTCTCTGCAGGGTCCTGCCTCTGAGTCTCTTTGGACAGGCTGCGCACTTGTTGGAGACCCCCCAACAAGTGCATAGAGGCCCCCAACTCTGGCTTCCCCCACCTCATTTCTTCTACTCTCCTCTGAGGGGTTGGCTGGGATAGGTGTGGGGCGGAGCACACCCACAAGAACACACTTCCCTGAACAATCCTCCTTCCAGTGATCTTTTTAAAGCCCAAAGCACAAGGCTTTGAGTCCCACCTCCTATTGTCCGCCAAGCCAGGCTACATATGAATGTCTCTCTAGATGCAGTGTAGATCCCTTAAGCAGGAGTTAAGGCACAAAGAGGGAAGGTGACAGGACAGGAGAGGTCTGTGCAATATGGCCAGGGGCCCCAGAGGGAGTGCATTTCCTGGCTTCTAGACCTGGCATGGAGACTTGGCCCCAGCATCCAGGAGGAGGGGGCCGCCTCCCCTACCTTCACCCCTCTGGGCCCTTCTGCCTCTCCTGAACCCCAAGAGCAGGAGGCAGTCGTGGAGCAAGGCTCATCCTGCGGCTTCATGACCCCAGCTCCAGTGGGCAGAGGGTACCCAGACTCCAGATGGTTCCTCGCGGCCACGGCTCGGCCTCCTCCAGGGCTGCAGCTTGGAGGCTGCTCAGTTCCAAAGTGAGGAACTGTGCCTCCTCAAAGCCATGCGTTTTGAAACCGCCCCAATCCAAGGTGCATTTGCTCTTGAAGCCCCGATCCGCAAGAAGGTTTCAAGGGCTGAGTTCTCCGTTCCTGCCGGCCCAGGGCTCCCCCAGAGGCGGCACATCTGCACTGGCACCCGGGCTGAGGGGCATGTGTGTATGGGGGCTGCACGTGTAGACGTGGGGGTGAGGGAAGCTGCTCCTGAACATTCATAATCATGGGGGTATGGGCGGGGGGAGGGGGCTATGATCACGGAAGAGTCCCGCAATACATACAATCTCAAGATATTTCCTTGGAACTTTTATGATCCTAAAATCCCATCTCCTGGGATTCCTCAGGGCCCTGGAATACACTATCTGGAGGAGTCCCCAGGTGCCTGCAGCGGCTGTGATATCATTACCAATAAGAAAAGGTCGACTTTACTGGGATGCCCCCAGATCAAAGGCCCTCAGGATTAACCTTCCCAGCAGCCAGTGAAGGAGGTGCTACTGTTACCCCATTTTTCAGACGAGGGAAGGTGGGCTGGGAAGTTGATGAGCTCGCCCAAAGCCACCCAGGGAGGACTGAGGGGGAGGTTGGATCCCCAAGCCTTGTCCTTAGGCACTGGGCTTCCAAGTCATTTAACCCCTTAGGTCACATCTGGCCCAGCTGCCCCTTCTCCCCACCTTGTGTAGCCAAGGTGGCTTGCAAAGAAAGCAGGCCCCTTCACTCCAGTACAGGCACCACCAATGTGGTGGTGACAGGGGCTGAGTCCCCTGAGTCCCCTCCCCTCCCCTTCCCTCTCTGTGGCAGGTCCCAGGCTGACTCTCTGGCTTTCCTGGATGTAATTCCACAGGGGTGTTTGGAGGCCACATCTTCTCTCCCCCTAGGACTGGGAGAATATATGTTTTAGGGGGCACGCCAGGTTAGGAGTCCCCCCTCCAGGGCTCCTTGGTGGGGCAGAGGACAGAAAGGCTCAGCGAGCTCTGGTTCGCTGTCTCACGCACTCCCAGAGAGGCTGGCACAGGTGCCTGGGCACACGGGCTGGGTCTCACTCACTGGGTTCTCTCTACTCAGACACTGGCCACCATCCTGTTCAGAATGGCCAGAGCTGCGGTCCCATTTACAGAGGGGAACGAGGAGGTTCAGGAAGGATAGGCAAGGGGGAACCTGCCCGAGCTGACATCCACCTCGAGCCCTGGCCCCAGTCCTGGGAGCCCAGGCCGGGCACCGCCTTCAGCTCCTTCCACAGTCCCGGGCTGGGGAGGTGGGGGTGTTCCTGCAGCGGGGGGAAGGGGTGCTTGCAGATGACTCCTGTTGAGGAGCTGGTGTTAGGCAGAGCAGTCAGAGGCGGACGTCCCAGCTCTGCCGCTTACCCTTGTGCACAGTGACTTGGCCTCCCTTGTTCCATCGCCTCCTAGTCCTTCAAAGGGGAAGAGTAAAGGCACTCACCTCCACGGCTGCCAGAAGGTGGCAAGGCCTCAGTGCTGAGAGCCAGGCAGCACAAGGCAAGCCTCATTAGGGGGTGCCTATTACATTAGGCGGCACAGGGGGAGTAACTGCAGGGGCTCCTGGAGGGTCCGGAAAACAGTGCCTCCCTCCCCACCCCCACCCCCCAGCACACTCAACACACTGCACCCTTACCTCCCATAAACACACACCCAGGGACACAGCCTACAACAGACCCACAATAAACAGTGCCACCAGCAGCCGCAGACACGCCCGCCCAGGCCTGCAGAGCTGAGGCTAGGACAGGGAGCTTCCAGCCCTGCCTGTGCGGCCGCTGGCCTCAATCCCTGCCGGCCCTGGGCCTCAGTTTCTCCATCTGTAAAATGGCGGAGGAGGCGCTGGACGGAGAGGCAACGGATGACATTACTCCCAGGGCTGCTTCTAGCTCTCCGCCTGGGAGGCCGCGGTTCGGCCGGCGGCACCGGCGCCGGTCCGCCCCCGGGGCTGTTCACCGGCTTTGCCCGCGGCCGGGACCGGGCCTGCCTTCGCCCCCC